TTGTTTCTGCCAGAAAAATGAAAGGCTGGAATTACAAGGGAGAGTTTCAAAGTTCAGAGGAATACTATCCGATCAGTATATACTGGGTTGAGCATCGATGCCAATGTCTCTCGCACTCTGAAAAGTTTTGAATTGTTGCCTGAAGACAAAAGAAGACCAATTGGTATTCATTATTTTACGTTGCTTCTTCTTGTGTTTGTTCTGTGAGTTGTTTGTTATCCAAACATAAAAATCTTTTGCGAAAGTATTCATTAACTGATCACCCACTGTATTTAAGTTAAGAAATTTAATAGTCAAAACAATCTACATTCAAATGAACAATTATTTATTATGATATCATCACAATGCTGGGCTGCAATTTTTAATTAATTTAACATATATGCTCTCCATCTCAAATTAGTAATGGCTTGCCCCTGTACATCATACTTTTCCTTTAACAACAGAGTCATGCCTTTCATCTATCTAACACCTTTGAGGAGAAATTTTTGAATTGCGATAACATGACTTTCAGTTTTCATCATAAGTTCATATATAGTTAATCAAGGCTTCCTGCCTCTAAGATTTCCATACCTGGTCTTGTCTTTCATCTATCTAACTCCATTCTTGAGATTAAGAAAAGACAGACAGACAACAGTGGGAATTTATAGGTCTACAATTTTTTCAAATTGCAGCCCAAAAAAATTTTTACTTTTCAATTTCTAACTTATTCTCATTCTGATTATTTTCATCTAAATTTCTGAATGTGAATAATAATTGTATTTTCAAGTATTTTTTCAATTTTTTATGACATTTAATTACTGTCATTGTTTCAATATGAAATTTTGTAAAGAATTCATTGTTATTATTTGTATTCACTTTGGATAAAATACTAAATAATTCAAAAAAATTAAAAAATAGATAAATTTTTTGAAATATTTTATCTTAAAGATACTGTAATTTACATTTATGCTAGTTACTTATTACCTAAATATTGTTTTTCTTGCTATTTCAAGGCATGCTAGTTTCTAGGTTTTCTCAGCTCCTCCTCATTTCTTTCTTTCTCTTTTATTTACAAATTTTGTACATTCTACATTTTTTGTGTATTTCTATCTGCTTATAATCGTAACTTCAGAATTTATTTTTTGAACTCTTCGATATATAATAAAAAATTTTAAAGCATCTGAATGCAGAATGTCCAGTAATCCAGTACCATCCTGTAACTATATGTAATGTATATTATAGTGTATATAATGTACTGAACAAATATTGTTTTGTTAGAGCTAACATATGTATTTTATATGACATGACTGATGTATTTTTTCTCATAGGCCAATGCAAAGACACCATATCTAAAAACAATTTCTCAATCACAAAAACTACAATGCTCTGATTATCATATCTAAAACTATATGTGTAGATAATCACAGTGGAGTAGTGTGGGTGTCAGCTGCCTGGGGCAGAGGAAATTTCGCCGTCCCGTTATTTAGGTATTTCAATTTAAAAGACCAAAATTCAGTTTCGTAACAAAAGAACAAGTAATGAAAATTTCCTTGCCAGTGTAGCAACCTGTCTAAAATATAAAATTGCTCTATTGAACATTGGAAGTGTATATGAAAACAAATGAATCGTACAAGCAAAAAAAAAAAAAAAAAGTCGACAGGTTCTGTGGCACATGGGTGAAATTGACAGTTCAACCAGATGGTGAGTCTATTTCCGGACTATTCCATGCTCATTTCAATCAGTCTGAATCGTAGGTGCGATGAGACTATGGGATAAAATGGCTCAAATTTTAACAAGATATTATTATTATTTATTGTGAAATTTTGCCACTCCCTAAAAAGTGCCACCCAGGACTGCTGCCCCCACTACGCTACGCCATTGGATAATCAGACGACAAAGGCAATTAAGGCATCATCTTACTATCTACCACTGTGGCTACTATGGGGTGGAAGGGAACGAAGCAGCTGACACTCTCGCCAAAAGAGCTGCGGTCTCATCTCTTCCTTGTTCTTACAGTAAGATACCGCCTTCCACTATCCATAAATGGATCTATAACCAACTTTTTGAAACTTGGCAAGAAGACGAACAATTGCACTACACACCATTCCACTCATGGCTTCATTCCAGACATCTCTGTCAGGCTGAGTTGCAGGCATCTTGTTCCCAACTTCACCCTGACTCAAGTTCTCACTGGCCACGGGAACTTCAACGCTTACCTCCACTGGTTCTGGCTATGGGACAGCGAGATCTGCAGGTGCAACACGAACACCAAACAAGACTACCTTCACCTGTTGTTTGACTTCCACTCTTTGACAGCAACAGAGACAGACTCATTGAGGCTGCACTTCGTAACAACCGTAACTGGCCGTGTCCTCTGCAAGCCCTAATATATGAGAAAAACATGTACAATCATCTGAACAATTACCTGCAGTGCTTACAGAGAGGACGAGAAACACTTAGTCAGTGGCTGTTCCCTTGTAGTCATGCAAATCTACTGAACTACAATGTTAACACCATGTGTTAATAAAAATCACTGTCTATGCTTTTAGTGTAACCCTGGTAATGTCAACTGTATATACGTTTGTAACCTGTTAATTTGCTTGGGCTACCTGTATTCTGCACCTAGCACCCACCCTGTATCTAGTTTACGCACTGTTAATCTGCATACTGTACTGCATACGTTTGTCATCTGTTTTTATGTTTGTTCTATCTGCAATTTGCCAAATAGCACTCAACATGTAACTACTTTGTACCAATATTATTCTGCATATTGTTTTTACGTTTGTTACCTAATAATACGTTTGTGCTATCTGTCGTTGTCACATAGCACTCCCCACGTAACTACTGCACTATTGTTAATCTGCATAATGTACATTAGTTTGTCATCTGTTATTATGTTTGTACTGTCTACGATTTATCAGACAGCTCTCAACATGTAATTTCTTGTAACATTATTAATCTGCACACTGTATTTATGTTATTACCTGTTCATATGTTAGTGCTGTTTGCAATCTAACGTGGAACTCCCAACCTGTATTCCTCTGTAACATTCTTGTTATTGTTATTATTTTTTCTGCTGATTATTCCTTATAAAACACTGTTGCGGGACACCCATGGATCCCAAACCTTTTCTTTTCATCCCCTTTCCTTTCTCACCCCCACCCATCTTCCCCCTTTTTTCATAACACAGGTCGTACCAAAGAGTGATACCTGTACTACTACTACTACTACTACTACTACTACTACTACTACTACTACTACTACTAATCACAGTCTCTAGGCAAAAATTCCTGAATTTTTACCACCCTCAGCTTCCCCCATTGTGAGCCTAGTTGAACTCAAGATTAGAAAAAAAGGTCCTCTTAGTGCCTTAGAGAGTCAAAAATAAAAAAAATATATATGCACACAAATCATTTAAATGATAAAATGAATTTAAACTGATAGTTGTTTCTATAATGCTCTGCACTACATTCCATTTCCAAGAATTCTGTGTAACTGAAGCAGGCCTAAAATGGTTAAAAACTTTATATATAAGAAAACGTTAGGCTGCCTGAAAAAAGCAGTGTAATTTTCATAAAAATCTCTATGCAAAAATTTATACTAAATACACTACATTTTCTTTTTAGTGTTTCTTTTTATGTCAGAATAAGAAAAAATTTGTTTCATTATAAATTTCTTTTTCCAATTTCTGTTTTAGCCTAAAAATTATCTATTTTTCTGTAAGATTTTGTTTCAAATTTTATAAATGAATATTTCATATTTGTTATTTTTCTCTGTTATTCATTTAATTTTTATAAAATAAAATTCTATAAATAAATCAGTAAGTATACATATAAATAATATTTGTTCAGATAATTAATACAATAATTTAAGCTTTTCAGGTAAAAAAAAATTGTTTGTAACAAAATATGAAGTACTTAATTTAAAAGCACAGGTCTCCCTCATACAACATGATTTGAAAAGTGAGAAAATCCTCTGTAAAACAGTTTCTGGTTTCACTCTAACATGGTTTGAGAATTTGGAAAATCCTCCATACACAACACAATTTCACTATTTTAAGTGCAAACTCTGTTATTTGATATTTTTTTTTTAATTCAAGTAAGCATGCATGTATGTCTTAAATTTGCTCATAAATTTTGGAATATTGAAATTTTCATTTTATATTGTACCTTTCATCAGGTTTACTTTAATGAAAATTGATAATACAAGGAAAGAAACAATTTCACTAATGTTCCATTCCTATCATACAGGTGTCTTTGTCATCGCTTTCAGACTTTAGCATTTAACACTGTCACTGTATTTTATAGGTTCACTGTAGGTTTTATAGATTAATCTTTGTATTCTTTTAAAAAATCAGTTTTTTTAAATATTCAAAAAAATTGATTTTTTAAAAGAATATAAAGAAAAACAGCACCATTGATATAAACATATTATATTTATCTATTAATCTTTGTATTTAGTAAAGTTTATTTAATTAAACATTTTTAGATAAGTGTTATTAAACTTAATACAGCATTATCTGAATACTTGAACTGTTTCCAACTCTAACAATTCTCTAAAAATAGCTTGGTATTCAATTGAACAAATATAACCCACTAGGACAAATTTTCAATTAATAACATTATTTTTATTTTGTCATTCATAAAAATTTTTTTATGATAAAAATATAAAAAAATGTTGCTGCTGATATTTCTGATCAAAATCAACAAAAAAGCTCGGAAGACAATGATACTTTGTAAAAAGAAAATGCCCTTGTTTAACTAAAATTAATACTACCATGTAATATAGTACTTTTAAATGTAATTGTTAGTTAATTATTAATTGGAAATAAATATTTAATTGTTTTAATAAACATATTTCTCTTAGTAATGAAAAAGACTAATATACTTTTGTTAACTTTTGGAACCTAACCCATGTTTTGCACTAATCCTTTGTTTTGTATAGTATGGATGTGCATAATATGGCCCTTTCTTGGAATGTAAATATTGCATTGTACAAAGAATACCTATATGTTTACTCACTTGAGAAATAGGAGTAACAACAAGAGAATCCATTCCTGTCTTTGAATTATAAACCTTCTGTTTTACAAAACCAGGATCAACAACATAGTAAATTCCATCAATGGTAAGTGATGTTTCAGCTATATTAGTGGCAATTACTACCTGAAATAATAAAAAAAGTAACAATTAGTTAAAAAGTATTTATTTTATGGTAAAAATCATATATAAACATTATTATTATATCTTTGAATTTTAAGATATAGCATTATTAATATGATAAAATTATATTTCAACTGTATACTATTAGTACTGATAAAAAAAAATCTAAGGACAATTGTACAATTAAAAATTCTGTACAATATAAATAATGTTAAAAAACTGTCATCACTATCTGCTCTTTTTCCACAAACTTTGGAAACAAAACAAAGTCACACAGCAGAGTTGAATTTTTTTTTTGAGGCTCTTTTTCATATCATGTAAAACATGTCAAGTTCATCTCTCTTCTGGTGACAACAGGGGTGTGGAGTCAGTAAAAAAGAAACACTTGACTCCGACTCCTGATAATTTTAGTAGGCCGACTCCGACTCTGGCAAAATTAAATACCAAATCATTTTATGGGAGCAGAGGTGCTCACAAGGGATATCCTACCCTGAACTCTGAAAGGAGCCTGGAGCATTTACCCAAATACTTTATAGTTAGTATTTTTAATATTTAATTTACATTAATATTTATTTGTATAAAAAAATTAATTTTTAACAAATATTTAATAAGAGGAGAAAGGGGGTGATAAAATTCTACATCTACATATATTCAGCAGCATTTGCACTTCAATTTCACCCTTCCAGAAGTTAGTCCAAGTAAAAAGTGTGCGATCTAGCTAGCTACTTCAGCCCCTTGTTTAGAAAAGAAAAATATGTACTCTGATCAATTAGTCTGGCTCATTCAGAAAAATAGAGTACTTATTTAGAGCAGGGATAATAAAGGAATGATTCAAAAATATTCAAATTCAATTGGGTCAAAATAATTTAACTACTAAATACAAATACTACATATTTAATAAATTAAATTGATGCATTTTATATTTATAATAAATGAATTATAACAAAATACAAAAAGATTTTAAAAAATTAATAAATTTTCTTTCATTTAAATAAAAAAACTAAAGTAAATTTAAAATGCAAGAGTCAGAGTTGATACATGCCAGAAATTCCTCCTGACTCCAACTCCACAGCCCCGAGTGACACAATGTAAAAATATACTTTTATTAAAAATTTTGTTCACCAACATTGACAACTAACAACAGAAATATTGTTATGAAGTCTTTTTTGCAAAAATTGATTTTGTTGGGTTTAAAACAATATTGTCATTAAGTTAGTAAGTGTTTAAGGACAGGAAAAAAGTCCACGACAAGTTTCTAATAACTGAATCTTAAAATTTTATTTTCTTAACTGAAAAGGAATGGTGGTTATAAAATTGAGTTAATATGAATCATTTATTTATTACTCATAAGTTCATTACACCAAAAAGTTTAATGTAATATGACAAACCTTGCAAGCTTAGTGGCATGCTTTGTTAAAGAATTTTTTTCCTATTCTTTTTTTAAATAATTTTCTTATTTGTAATTTTTTGTATTCTCAAGCAATACATACATACATACATAAAAGAAAGACATCAGCCATACATGAAATGCTTAGCCAGCAGAAAGAGGGTAAGGGAAAGGGCAGGGGAAGAATGAGGGAGAGGAGATAGACAGTAGAGAAAGGTAGGATCCCTCTGAATGGCATACATATGGCTACAGTACTCTCTATGTTTGATGTTGGCATGCAGTTTTTATGCTGCAAGGCCATAGTCCCCCAAAAGATCTAAAATAAACCTAAGTGTAGCAAACACCAATAATTGAATGCTGCCATGAATAGCTAAGTATAGAAGTTAGTGCAAGTGGCTGTTAGTAGGAAGACTTATAACATCTTAATACTAATAAAACTAAATGCGATTGCAAATCTTAATACTACTTAACAGCTAGACAGACAGTGCAAAAAGGAAATGAACACAATAACAAACTAAACGAGATGAATGGACCAACAGAGACAAACAAGCAAGACCTCAATTTTTTGTTTTTTGGTTTTATTATTTATTTTATGTTATTTTATTTTATTTTTTTAAACATTAACTTACTCACTAACTAAACTAACCTACCATAACCTAGGATGAACCTAACCAGAGTACTACAGCTAACAAACCCTAATCTAATTTAACCTAACCTATCATATCCTAATTGGAAACCAAGCTAAGAGTCCCTAATCTAACTTACAGTTAGGACTAACCAAATTTAAACTGAAAGAGAAGACAGAAAAAAGAATTAAAATACAAAGTTAAAGAGTAACTATATACTGACAGTTGAAACAAAGCAAAGAAAAGCTAATTGCCATCCGTGCCTCTGGAGTGACTGCTCTCAAAAGCCCCACTAAGCAGGGCTGTGGAGTCGCGTAAAAATCTACCGACTCCAACTCCGACTTTTCCTTACCATCCGACTCCGACTCCATTTCATATACATAACCAAGTTGGTAAGTAAAAAGGGAGTCAGAGTTGGCGGATTTTTTGATGACTCCGACTCTAGCCAAAACAAGAAAACTCCACGACTCTGACTCCTACTCCACAGCCCTGCCACTAAGGAATATAAATGTGAATAGATGATGGAACATTGTACATGTGTGAATGAGTTGGTGCGGATTGCAAGACCAGTTGTACCCTTCATAAATAGCAGCTCTCATTAAGCTGTCCCTAGTGTGATTGTACCTATTGCAGTAAAAAACTAAGTGAAGTGATGTTTGGTCCTCCTGAATTACCACAATTGCATTGTGGATTGTCCCCAAGGTTAAATCTATGCAAGTATTGCATAAATTTAACCTTGTAAGTAACTGAGTGAGGGTGTAACTAGGATAAAAGTGGCGAAGAATCACAGTAGTGTCAATCTTGGGGATGAAAGTGTAGGTGAGCCTACCAGTGCTGTCACAGTCCCAGCTGTCTTGCCAGAGAATGAAGATCTGCTTCTTGATGTAATTGTTGATGTACGAGGTAGGAATATAACTGAAAGTACTAGTGACTGAAGACTTTGCAGCTTGTTTGGCAAGATGATTATTCTCAAGCAGTAAAAAAATATAATGTACTTTGATCAATATTTAAAAAAAAAAATACCAATTCTGTTTTTGTTATGCAGTTTATTTATTCTATTTATGTGTACACATTTTACAATATATTATCCACTTGTTATACATTTTTATTATTATGCATATATAATTTTACATATTTGATGATACAAACTTACCATCCTTGTGTTTCAAATTATAATGCCAATAACTTAACAAATCATCAGATGTGACAAAAACTTGAATAAAATTTACTTTATAGCATAAAAAATATGAATATAATTTCTATATATTTTGAATGTTTCTAACCTTTGATCAAATTGGATTTTAAAGAAAATGACAACTGACATCAGAGGACATAATCTTATTTTCATTTTTATAAAAAACAGATTTTTACAAGATTTAAGATAAATAAAAACATAGAAATCTTAGAAGAAACAATAGGAAATAGATATCTATTGACAAGGCCATTTATGATCGCAAATAATTTTATGCATATGTAAAACTTTTGACTAATGTAAAACAAAAGCTAAGTAATAATATAAAAACTTACATCCTATGGCAAATATTAAATTAACAGTAAAGTAATTTTATGTCATTCATTCACAATAAAAAGATTTTTATTCAATTATTTTATATAATCTAATTTTCTTATTAATATCAAAGGTACAATTAAAAAAAATACAATACCTTTCTGGAACCAGGAGGTGCTGGTTCAAAAATTCTTGTCTGCATCTCACTGGGAAGTGCAGAATAAACTGGAAGTATTATTAATTCTGGAACTTCTGGTCCTAGAGATTTCATACGTTCATATAATATTTCACAAGCTGTATCAATCTCTTCTTGACCAGTTAAAAATAACAATATGTCACCTAAAATTTTAAAAAATTAATTAATATGCTATAATTTTATTTATTCATTAAATTTACATTAGTTAAACTAACCTCATTAATATCAGGATGAATATCCTGCATTTTCTAGTAATATCATTGAATTTCAGAATTTTTAATTGTTTGTTTTATTCAAACAATACTACAGTAACTTAATGATTAACTTTTTAAATTAGTTAACTGTGTAATTTTTGCTTTTGATATATAACATAATATATTTTATGTATTAATAGCATTTATTGAAAGTTGAAAATGTATAAAAACAATGAATATTGTTTCAATAATATTCAATGTAATTTTGCTTTCAATAAGTTTTAGCATTAAGTGCTAAAAACTTTTTAATATATAGTATAATTCTCAAAGTTTTATCTGCAACTGAAGAGTAAATTCCTGGGACATTTTTGGCAAAAAAAGTTGCATGAAATGTTTCATTCAAAAATTTCTTAATAGTTTCAGATTTTTTCCTATCAAACTGTTATGCATTACCATGAATATGAGCTTGTAGCTTGACTAAACAGTGTGTACTCTCTCAACATATGTAACCTGTAGAAAATAAAAGCCTGTGCCTGTGACTTATTACAATGTATAATTGCAAATGCAGCATGCACAATTCACACATGCCAAAATATGCATTGATGTGTAGGGATAAATTGTTGAAAATTGTTGCTCCTCTAAACAATGTATAACAACTATGATTTCATCAATAAATAAGTTTTAAAGTTTCTTTTTGTATTTTTCATTGATTCTTTTTCATTATGTCCAAAACTACTACTTCCACATTAGGATTCAAACAGTTGCAGTAATTTAAGTATTAAGAATAGGAGAAGAATATTCAAGATGTAAAACATCCTATATAATTTTTTGATATAAATTGATTTTATTTACAAAGAGAAGTGTTTAATTGAAAAAAAATCTAATTTACATTTTTAGTTTACAGATTTTTTTATATCAATGAATTTAAAGTAATATGTTTTTCTAGATATTTTACATAAAGGTATAACTAAAGATACAATGGTCAAAATTTTGTAAACAAAATAACAATGTATTTGGTCATAATATAATGTAATTTTTCAACACTTAATTGAAGAAATTTAATAATTTAATATATTATTCACTGAAAATAATAATACATTAAAATAAACTAATATGATATAATATTAATTATACCATATAAAGTTATTCATATAATTTTAAAATTATTTTAATGTAAATATTTGAAGATTTTTTTAAATAACTGTTTTACTTAAAAGAATTTCAATGGAAAAATCATTCTAACATAACCGGAATTCTTTTTGTTACAAATTTGATGAGATTCAATTTTTAAAAATATAATTTAATATTAAATTGAACAACCTTATAGAAACTAGATGTGAAGTTTTCTTATTAAAAACATTTTTGAGAAGGACACTTCATTCTTATTTATGGAATAAAAGTATAAAATCATACAAAATTCTTAAAACAGCTTAAAATCTTAACTAATAAACTTTTGTTTCATAAAATTCCAAACTTCCCAACTTCCCTTTCCTAACAAAAGAAAATATTGAAAATGTTCTGATAAGAAGTAAACAGATTTTTATAAAGTAATGGATGTGGAAATTAGTACAGTAATACCCTGAACTTACGCGATAGGAGGGACTGAGCAATAACTGCGTAAGTCGCGGTATAAGCTAATAAATGTTCTGGTTAATCTTATCTCATCTTTTGATTTGTTCACGGTTACAAGAAATCACCACATAGAGTCTCTCAAGTCTCCATAGATATAACAAACACAGAAATAAACAACACAAAATAAATTGTAGCTATGTGTCGATTCCGTAAGACATGTCCGAACATATAAGCTGAACAATAGTGTGGGTGGAGTGAGTAATCAAGAGTTGTGTGGCGCTCAAACAAAAGATGAATTGTCGAGATTTGAAAATCGCGTAACTCCAGGTTTGTGTAAGTCAGGGTAGCATAAGTCGAGGTATTACTGTACTTAAAATGCATTCAGAAGTTAGTAAATTAATCTTAACATTTTTGTTCTTAAAAATAATTTTATAATACATCCATATAGTCAGAAAGAGTAATATTTATCAGCTTTTTGTGCATTTTAACCATAAAATCTAATAAAAGTTTTGTCACACTTTTGATTTATTATTGCTTTTCAACTTTTTGCTAAATAATTTCAACCTTAAAATAAAAAATAATCAATAGCTTACATGATTTATCACTGAAACAAAGCTAAACTGACCAAATGATTTTTTAAATTGTAAGTAGATGCAACAAGCAATTATTTATTGTAACAATGTCATAATGCTGAGCTGCAATTTTTCATCATAATGTATTTAAGTCCAGTAGTGTCTTGCCCCCATATATCATACTTTTCCTGTTAACAATGAATTCATGCCAGACATGTATCTAACTCTGTTCAGGAGAAAATTTTTAAATTAAAATAACGTGATTTCTGGTTCAAGTTCATATAGAGGTATCCCTTGCATAAAGTGGGATTTGATTAATGTCTGAAATTAATTGCAGTAATCCCTTTATACACACAGCAGAAATTTTAATTTATGCAGCTTTACCAGCTGTCTTTACTTAACATAGATACCATATTTTGATTAATGCAATTTTGATATATGCAGTAGGATCAAGGAATTAATTAACAGTGTTAATCAAGGGATACGTGTATAGTTAATCGAGGCCTTCTGCCCCAAACCTTCCATATGTGGTCTGATCTTTCATGTATCTAACATTGTTTTTGAGATTAAAGAAGGATGCCTGTCCTTCCTGACAAATAAACAACAGTGGAAATTTATAGGTCTGCAATTTCAAAATTGCAGCACAATGAAAGCAAAATTAAATTAATTGATATTATTATTATATTTGCAACATAATAATTGATTTTTATCAAGAAATTAATTCTAACTTAAATAAAGAAAATACTTAAACTGACATTAAAGATTAAACTGACAAACTAAAGCATTTAAAATACTAAATATTATTACCTGGTGGTTCAGTTAGATGAATCTGCATTACTGTTATTAGAGATGCATCTAAATAGTCTGTTTCAGGTTCTTTTGTGTAAAGAATATCCACTGGATATGTTCTTCCTGGTATAGTAAATATAGGCTAGAAAGAAATTTTAATATTACTATAAGTTATTATTGGTATTATTTAATTTTAAACATTTTAGCAATAATTAATAACTGAAATTTCTTACAGCTTCAAAAAAGTATTGAGAAAATTTCACAGCATCCAGAGTAGCAGAAGTTACAATAAGTTTCAATTCGGGTCTTCTTTTAACAGCCTACATTACAATACAAAATAAATAAAAATATAATTTTAGTTGAAGTAAAATAAATTCTCATTAAAGCTTCATTTGAAATTTACTTTTAATAAGTAAAAACACTTTTCATTACAAAATTATTCAATATATTTACAATAATATTTTAACTTTCAAATAAATTACGTACAATAAGTGCAAATTTTGATTTTTAAGCACTAATTATTACTGTAGTTACTTATAATGAAACAATATACAGTAGATTCTCGTTAGTATGTCTGTAAGGGTTGATGTAAACTAAAAGAACTAGTGTTATGCAATTTTAGCTGCAAAGAAGTTATACTGCATAGATACAATAATATTTCACTGTAGATTTCATTGTAAGATTGCAATTTCTGTTTTCAAGTAAATTTTTTTTTATCTAATTACAAAATTACAAAAAATTGCTAAATTATCAAATACATGTAACAAGAAAGGCAATTAAAAAAAAGTCATTTAAAAAACTGTTGTGAAAAATTACATTGACAAACCTGTACTTAAAAAGGAAAAAAATGCATTATTCTACTTTATAAATGTAAGTGCATATTCAGAATTTTGTTGAGTTTAAATGAGTCAATAAAAACAATCAATAGTGTGAGGAGCATCTTTTGAAGTATCATTGACCTTAACCATCAACTCCATTATAATTTCTTGATCCTTGTTAATTCAAATTTTGATGTTTTAAAAACAAAAATTCTTAATACAACAGTATAATAAATAAACAATGATATTTTCATATAATATGTATGCTGCCAGAAAAAACTTTTAAGTCTTCTGAAAAGATAGCCAGAAGCTCTCAAAAAAATTCTTGAAATTTTGAATATAAAAATCAACTAAATTAACTATATTAATTCTGGAAGATATGCAGTAGATACACAACATTCATTGATGTTAATCAATATTGTTTTGTAATTAGAAACTTTTACCAGCAATACATTTAATTACAAAAATCAAACATTTTTAACTGTTCTTGCAGCCTTCTTTAGGATATCAAAAATTAAATTCTGTTATGCTATAAACTGAATACAGTTATCATTTCAATTTAATTTATAAAACAAAAATGAGTGGAATACCATTGTCATTTAAATATAAACATAAACTGTTGGCATACAAATAAAAAAATATAAACAAACAATTTGGATGTTTTCAGATAAAACCAAATTTCATGTGAACAGATACATGAACTGACACAATTGTAAAATTTGGTCGTATGAACATCCATGTGTACATAGGGAAGTATACATATAGAGGTATAGTGCTCCCAAAACATCAATGTGTGGATAAGGTCCTAACAAATCACTGCATCAGACCAGTTTTTATACATGGAAATTTAATCTGTACCATGTAAGTGAATCTAATGAGGTAATAATCCCCAGAATTAATACTATTAACAAATAACAACAGACAAGTGTTGGTTTGGTTCTCAAAGACAATATTGTCTATCAACAAAATGGGGCCCTATCACATTATCTTGAATAATTCTAAACAGACTAAATAACATTCTCAGGCAGAGTGATCATGAGATGAATAATGGTCAGCTCATTTGCCAGATCTGGCATCTTTGGAATTTTTCCTATGGGCTATTTAAAATCAGAAGCATATTACAAATTGTAAATCTGGATCATTTAAGGGAAAAGATAACCATATATCAAGATGACACCAGTGCTAAGAATGATCACCAGTTTGAATGTAATTGTAACGAAATGTAAACCTATAATCTGCATCCTACTGTATTAAATTCTTGTGTTTGTATTATCCTTTAATTTGGTTTCACTTTTTCAGTTTCAATACTAAATTCTGGCATTAATGAATTAACTGATACATTTCCTCTGTTCATGCAGCAAAACCAAGCCCCTGCCCACATATGGCATGAACTTCTCAGCATTGCTCTTCTATGGATAGTTATTCACAATGCACTCTGTATATACACACACACACACATTAATTAACATCACACAGAAAAGACTACATAATAGAAGCCAAAAGAATGTTTTTAAACTTTCCAGTTCAACATCAACTACATTCTAAAAATAACTCTAAACAAAACTAATTTAAAATTTTTAAAAAGTTAAACTGTAAATTTTAAAAAATTTGGAAAATAAAATGGAAATGATTAAACTACTTAATTTGGACTAAATATAAGCAGTTGCCACAATCATCTGTTAAATTAATAATTATAAATTTTAAAAAAAATGCTAAAATTTGTTTATTTTTAAATAACAAATATTTTAGCAGCATTTTTTTTTTTAATTTCACAAATTAATAAATATTAACATAAAATTAATAATTAAATTTATCATATAATTTAGTATTTCACTTACATTTTTTAACAATCCAAACAATACGTCAGTATGAATTGTTCGTTCGTGTGCCTCATCCAACATGATGACTGCATAACCTTTCAAGTCAAGGTCAACAAGGCATTCTCGAAGCAACATACCATCTGTCATGTATTTGATGAGTGTTTCTGAACTGGTACAATCTTCAAATCTTATAGTGTATCCAACCTAAGAACAAAATGATTATTACTACCATTTAACTATCGAAATATAAAATATAAAAATTATCCTGCAAACCTCCTGTCCCAATCGACAACCAAATTCTTCTGCAACACGTTTGGCAACAGACATAGCAGCAACACGACGGGGTTGAGTGCAACCAATTTTTCCTCTTGCAGTAAAGCCTGCTTCTGCTAAATACTGAGTAATTTGTGTTGTTTTTCCAGAACCAGTTTCTCCAATTACAATCAATATTTGATTTTCTGTTACTGCCTAAAAATTAACAAAATAATTAAATCATCTATCAAATAAAATTTTTTGAGAGCATATAAAAAACTCTCTAAAAGAGACAAATATAAATAACAAATATATTTAAACCAACTAAAATTTTCAATTATTCAAACAATTAGAGCCAAATTACATTCAGGCTGTAATAAAGCTAACTAATAAATGATTAAACTACTGTAAGGTCTCGTTTTATGCGGTGGATACGTTCTACAGAAAAGCGCATATAAAAAATTCGCATAAAAAAAGACTTTACTTGCCTTGAAAAAGTAGGGATACGTTCCGTAATTTTCTAAAATCGCATAAAACCGAAACAACGAGTTAAAATTAACTTAAAACCGCATAAAAAAGTTTGCAGAAATTAAAAGAAATAGGCTGCTTAATAAATTACTTGGAATGTCTGAAAGAAATTCATATAAAAGCTTAAAATAAACTTGTATTCAAACTTAATTCAGTTTATTTTATTGAAAAGTAATACAAGGGGAATCCCCGAATTGCAAAAGCTCACTCTAAAAACAAATCACTGACATCTGGATGTGAAGAGTTAATTAAAACCCCTTTAGTTCCTCGCCCGAGTTAACTCGGGCAGGTTACATAGCGTTACATAAAACACGGTCCTTAAGGCCATTTTTGATTTTTTTTTGAATTTTTGGAATGTTTTTTAAGTCTCCAAATTTTTTAAAAATATTTAAAAATATACGGCCAGCTAGTGTTCACCCTACTTTAAACCCTTGTCCTCCCGCGACGTCTATGAGAATGCCCCGGGAAATCCAACTCCAGCTGTGTTCAAGGTCATCCAGATGTGTAAACAATGACTCATCGGTGTTAAATTTCACAGAAGGGCGAGACAAAGGAAGTTAAACTTTGAAGCTTTTTCTTCAAAATTAACGCATTTCTTTCGTTTTTTTCAGTTTTAAGTATTTTTTATGTTTAATTACATTTATATCAAAAATTGCTAGGAACTAAAGCGATTAAGGTAGATCTAGCTGTCCTTTACATCCATAAACGTTATATGTCAGTGGAACAAATGGAGTGAGCTTTGAGCGTTCCACGATTTTTGGAGACTGTCTATACGCGGGCTTCCTAAACAAGCCTATATGTATGCTTGTCAAGAAATTTTTGGATAAAATACAAACCGCACAACTTCAAAATTGCATAAAAATAATCCGCATAAAAAGAGACCTTACAGTACTTAATTTGGACTAAATATAAGCAGTTGCCACAATCATCTGTTAAATTAATAATTATAAATTAAATTAGTTTATCAATACATAATTATTCATTAATAAATTATTAATTTATATATTATAAAATACTATACCAAAGTAAATTGATTCTATATTAATTTTATTTTGAACAAAATATTATTTACATTTAAATAAAATGAATGAAACAAAAATTTCATCATGATAACACTTACAGAATTTCAAACCAATATCAAATGCTAACAATTATTTTCTTAAACAAAAAAAAATTAAATTTTATAAAATAAATATACATTACATTACATAGAATCATACTTCTATAGCTTGCATCTTTAAGCTAAGAGCAAATTAGTTGATATTGCAAGAAACTTGTCAGATGTGACATCAAACTAAATTCATGCAATCATTGTGAGTTTGATCATCAACTTGTGATCACCATTCTACATCATAACTCTTTATAAAAAAGTACGCTTAATTCATTTGACAACAGTTCAAGCCAGCATGTTGGATTTTTCATGCAATGGTCATGAAATACTAATTTGCATAGGAATATTTAAGCCACTTGTTTCAGCAGAAAGCCCTGTAAGCTGGGATTTTAAGTCAAGAAATTTTTTTGACTAATATAAGTTCATCATAGGAGATATATAATTCATATTTTATATTGAATTAAATCAATAAATATTTTATGTAGTGCATATTAATTAATTCTTTGCCAATACAAAACAAATAACAGGCATAGCACAAAGTTAAAAGCAACACATTGTAATTGCTAATTTTCATCATTTTATAAACAAACGTTTTCAGAGAGTAGAAATGTTTATTAATCCTTCAAAAATAAATCATGAAAGATACTACAAGATGCAACATCATGAGATCATTAAAAAAAAACAGTTATGCAACAACAAAAATGTCACATGACATCACATCAAAAGCAATAGCATCAACTAGTTGGGCTTAATCCTAAACAAATTTCTATGCTGAATAAAGTAAAATAATTTCTATATGTGTGACAAATTGTATATTTCAAATTATATATAGAAGAAATTTTATTTCAAAATAATAAGTAAAAATGGTAGTAAACATTACTAATTTTATTATTAAATATATAAAAACAAGTAATAAAGATCTAAGAATTCTCAAATAAAATAATAAAATGCATTAATTTTCTTACTTTAATAAGTTCATCTTTAAGTTTATATATTGGTAAACTTTGTCGCTGTTCTAAAAGTGTCATCTGAGTCTTTTTCCCATAAGATGCCTTTGTGCCTCCTGTTATATGTTTCTTCCATTCTGGAAGATCTTGGGCAGACAATCCTATACCTCTCATGTTGGCAGCAAGTGTTCGTCCTTCTGCTAAAAACAAAAATTCATAAAAATATTACTATTTAAATATAAATCTTTATAATAAAAATTAAAAACAAATAGATGGAATATACACTATATATCTATGAATTCTGCTTGTTAAGACTATCAAATATTTAATTTTTCTATTTAGTTTGTTTTCTTCTGTAAACTGTTTTTAGAATATCTAACATAAAATAGTTTGTACTGAAAATAGCTCAAAAGGAGCTATTTCCATATACTTCTTCATAAAATAAATACTCAGTTTTAGAACAGTTTTATTATTATACAGTATACTCAATTTTGCACAGCTTTGTTGAATTAACACTTTGTATTAATATGTAATATCAATAAAATAGTTAATTCATTAATCACAATGGTAAAAAACTCTGTATGAAAATCTGTCTATCAAATGTACATTGGATAGTATGTGTATCTAAGAAAGTTACGAAAACAATCAACATATTACATAATTACAAATTACTTTGTCTATTTCAATTAAATGCAAATGAATTTTTAATAAAAATATAAATCCTTCAATAATTAATTATATTTTACTCAATACTATTTGGGAATAAAGTTTTAGAAACCAGAATATCCAAAAAATTATTAGAGTGTTAAATAAGGTTGACAATAATGATGATTCTGTATAGAAATCCATTATTTTCAAGATACCAAGTATATTTTATTCCAATAAAGATTAGATAAAATAAAGCATGATGTTACCATTTCAAAAAAGATAAAAAATTAAATAAAAATCTGTATAGTCATTTAATAAACATACATAAACAGAAACATTGTTTTTTTTTTGTAGAAACTGTCATGTTTCATTACTCTCTCTGAATCTTTTTCAATCAAATAAACTGAAGGAGAAATACTGTAATAAAAATCATACTGTTATGGAGCAAATGAGCCAAAATGAGTTTACTGAATACTTGGAAATTTCTTTTAAATTTCCATGTATTCAGTAAACTCATTTTAAATTACATTTATGAAATGCAAATCTTTTATTGTTGAAGTCATACATTTAGAAGAATAATTATTTATTAATTATATTAAGTTTTAGAGTTATTGATTATATATATATAATAATGAATTTTGAATATATATACTTATTTTTATATTTCAATATTATTTTATTATAATATGCATAATAATGAATAAAAATAAAAAAATATAAAAAAACACTAATTTTTTTTTAATCTTTTCTAAGTTATTTTTAAGTTATTGTTACATTATGT